GATAGGGAAAGGAGGCATTGAAATTTCTCTTTTATGACTCACGCTTCAAGTCTATGTATCTTGTTGCTGTTGGCTTGATTAGACTCAATCCATTTACTCCTATTTCTTCGCTTTTTATTACAATTGAAGACCTTTCCGTGCATCTACGCATATATCCGACGAGCATGATCTCGGAAAGAAGCCGAATTTAAGAAAGATTGCAGAGATTTCTTTTTCGTATCTTGCATTTGCACTACGAGAGAGATCTTGTTTACCCCTTGCTAGCAGGCACTAGCGATTGATTCTAACCATGTCTCCAACCATCTCAAAGGCTTCCAGCGAGGAGAGGCGGTCTCAGTCCTCGGTGAATGAATCCGAAATCCAGAGAGCTCAACCCCGGTGTTCACAACGAGAAGGAGCTGTGAATAGACTTGACCACGTCCAAAGCCATGTTTCACATCATGATATGGTTGCTAATGATGACTTCCAAGAGGTCGATGCGGAACAATATCTACGCTTTTCACCAGCCCGCAAAGTGATCATCGTGGGTGTCCTGTCGTTCTGCTCTTTCCTGGCGCCCATATCCTCCACCTCTATATTAGCTGCTATACCCGAAGTGGCAAAGACCTATAACACCACAGGAAGTGTGATAAACGCGAGCAATGCGCTATATATGGCATTCATGGGCATTGCGGCTCCTTTCTGGGGCCCCTTTAGTCAAGTCTGGGGGCGACGTCCGGTAGGTAACGAGCGTAAGTCCATCTTGAAGTAACAAGCTAATTGTGAGTAGGTCTTCCTTGTGAGTGCATTCTTGTTCTTTGCATTTAGCATCGGCACGGCTCTAGCACCCAACCTCCCAGCATATTATATTTTCCGCATCTTGACTGCATTCCAAGGAACGTCCTTCTTGGTCGTTGGGAGTTCGGCTTTGGGTGATGTATACGAGCCTCGAGCACGAGCGACAGCATTGGGGTGGTTTTTGTCAGGAACCCTAATTGGGCCAGCCTTTGGACCATTCATTGGCGTACGTCTACTCTATAAATCCAGCCCCGAGGCAATCCGCTAACCTACAAATACAGGGTGTAATCGTCACCTTCCGCTCATGGCGAGTGGTCTTTTGGCTCCAGGCTGCCCTTGGAGGCTGCGGTACGCTCCTCGTCTTCTTCCTTTTCCCCGAAACCTACTCGCATCTGACAAAAGACGACATGGCCGACAAGACGACGTGGCAAAAGGCCAAATATCTTTGGCATCGGATCTCTCCCCTCCAAGTTGCCATTATGCTATTTAAATACCCCAACCTCTTCTGCACCGGTCTTGCTGCCGGCGCTCTCGTCTGGAACCAGTACTCTCTCCTAACTCCGATTCGATACGTACTCAACCCACGCTTCCATCTCACCAGCCCTATCCAGACCGGGTTGTTCTACATCGCGCCAGGTTGTGGGTATCTCGTGGGCACACTCATGGGTGGAAGGTGGGCAGACCATACTGTGAAGAAATGGATCCTCAAGCGCGGTGGTGTCCGAGTCCCCGAAGACAGACTGAAGTCTTGTCTAATATTTTTGGGTGGTGTCATCCCCGGTTGTATCTTGGTCTACGGTTGGGCGGTCGAGAAGGCAGTTGGTGGAATTCCAGTCCCCGTCCTTGCGATGTTCTTCCAAGGAGTGGCGCAGTTGTTCTGCTTCCCTAGTCTCAATACCTACAGCCTAGATGTTATGCAGTCGAGCGGCCGGAGTGCCGAAGTCGTCGCCGGTAGCTATCTGGTACGGTACGTGTTCGGTGCTCTGGGGTCTGGACTTGTCCTTCCAGCGGTAGAGAGCATGGGAGTGGGGTGGTTTAGTACTATCAGCGCCCTGTTTTTGATTGCATCTGGGGTCGGTGTATGGCTCACGACTGTTTTCGGCGATCAATGGCGGGATAAGGTCGAAAAGAAGAGCCAACAGAAGACTGCGGAGAATACCGAAAAGATACAGGAGGACACGACAAAGGCTGAGGCTTGAAAGTTCAATTTTAGAATATCTCAGTAGGGGAGTCTTTGTAAGGCTTAATGATAAAATGCTGTCATGATAAAAATAAACCAAAAGCGAGGTAGGGAATAGTAACTCAAGTGTTTCCGAAATATATATGTTCAGTTACTCACCAAAATGCCCGCGTGCTCATTTTGCACTTCGAGGACATCTTCGTTACGAGCTGGTTGCTTCCCCTTTGCGATGTCATTGGGATCTAGACCACTCTCCGCCACGACACGGTCTATCTTGCGCTGCTCGGTGAATTTCCGACAGTCTTCACGACCCTTTTTGATGTCTACAAAGCAAATAGTGATCATTGCCCCGGCGCAAATGGCGAACAAAAATGGGAAGCCCATCCAATTGTTGTGGGTATTGTTAATGATGGCTTGAATGACATTGGGACCGATGATAGAAGACTAGAAGGTTAGTGAACTTGAAGGAAATATAGCACCAGACATTCGCGACTTACTGCACGATTAGTTATTCCAAAAAGCGCGAAGAACATATTATCGTAGCCGCGTGGCATGAGTTCGCTGATCATCGTTTGGGCGTACTGGCATAATGTTAGAAACCAGAGCGACATGAATCATGTTGAATACCATTCAAATTTCCACCTACTGCATAGTACGGAGCCTGGAAAAGCCCGAAGATCACATTGTAGAAGTAAAACTCCCACTTCATGGCTGTTAGCTGTGAACTCTCAGTTGGGGGCTGATACATACTCTATTGTGATACCCGATGCGATTGGTCCACAGTCCCAGCATTCCCCAAAAGGGGATGAGAACGCTGAAGGAATTTGTGAACAAAAACATGGTCTTCGTCTTAAATTTGAAGTACCGTTGTATATACCAAAAGCCGAATGTTGAAGTGATCGAGCAGGCAGCTTGGGTAATACCGAGATACGTGATCTGCAAGAAAGAAAATGAAACGGAATCGTTCTGGATAATGCTGACGAGGGTACCTATTGAGGTTAGTATATTTTCTTGTTTACATCTATGGGTGTATTGAGTCTCATTTGCAGCAAGCCGTCAAGAAAAGAACCTACCAGTAGTGTTGAGGCCATCGGCAAGAAGAAAATAGGCAAAAAAGTACAGAAATGTCTGTGGAAGAGACTTGATTTCTCGAATGGCGAGCCAGATTTGTTTGAATCCGATGGTCGTGTAGCTTGATCCCTTTGGTATCTTTGGACCGGGCCTTGGTTGTTGGAAAATAAACCACCAAACGCCAAGAACGACCCAATCTGTAGAAGGTCAGATTGTCCGACTGTTTAGTGGATTGCCCAGAAAGCTTACATGAGTTGGTAAGACATAGTGCCAGGTTATTCGAGAAACTGTTATTCTGTAGTGGAAGTAGAACACTCAGATTAAGCACGAGCGTGAGTAGGTATCCAATGTTGCTGTGTGCAGTTGAAATGTTGCTACTGTTGTCAGCGACATGTTAAATAGGAGCTCAGAAAGATCAAACTCACCTGATATGATTCCTCTCCAGTGATTCAATAGTATCATACTCCTCCTGGTCGATCTTACCCTCTCTGAGATCCTCTTCTCTCGCTTTGCGCACATGCGGCGTATACCGCGCCAGACGAGGGAATACAGCAGCGTAGAATACCAACGTTGCACCGTAGGCAATGTATGCCACAACGTACAAGCCCATCGCCGTTGGCCACTGGCTCGGATGCCGGATGGACATCATGCCATACTGCAGTGCCCAGCACACCACCGTTAATGCCAGAAGAAGCCATCGGCCGAATGTTCCATAGTCCGCAGCACTTCCTAGCCAGACGAATATCACCGTCATGAAAGTGAAGCAAAGGCCATTGGCAATAAGAACCACCGAAGATACAGACCGCGTACCTCCCGCCCACGGCACTACACATGCCGATGAATCGGTACAGGCTTTGGGTGGATTCGAGCCAGGTTGATGTCCGGCACCATTCAAGGCCCACTGGAAGCTTCGAGGGCATTAGTCGGGAAATCCTAGTGTTTTTCATTGTACCTACAGGGCTTGGCTGTAGGACCCTGGCCCGACTCCATTATCTCCATTATAATAGAGGTAATATGACCAAAGTTCTTCCCTAGTGGTGGTTGGCTGTTCATACGCGTCCTCGTCAACGCCGAAGAGCCGTTCATATTCCTCCAAGGTAGAATGTGGCTGTGCGGCCGAGGTCACATCAACTGTCGCGTCTTTTTTTGTATCATTTTCATGTATGTTCGCCATGTTGGGGGTGTAAGTTGGATAAGATATTCCTTACATCGTATATCCCCGGAGGTTACCCCGCATCTATCGAACTTGCCTTATCTTTTGTTACATTCAAATGTTCGTTGGCAAGAAGATAATTCACTAGGTAGAGTCTAAGAGGTAATCTAACTAATCCCCTTGAAATGTCCAAGTGTTCCAGGTGTAAGCGCAATGTTGCAGTTGCAGTTGCACCAGGTGGATCCGGTTCAACTCCGATTCCCTTTCAACGTCACCTCAATGTACTTGACCTAGAGAATGAGTTTGAATATTATAAAAGCCCCCTCTGTATATCGCTCTAAGTAATGAGATGATTGAAGGATTTCTTCGCTGGTATATTCGTTCTACCAAAGGACGTCTAAGCGAAAATGTACGTGAGAACTGAATAATGATGCCGATTCTTTGGAGGGCTTTGAAGATTTTTTAAAGAACTAAAATTATCTCGAGTGATCAAAAGGAGATTAAAATGCGGATTTTGTTCCATTTCCCTTCTGATAATAAAAAGTCTGTTCACATTATGGCTTGCGATAACATGCATCAGTAGTGTACAGACCTAGTCGCCTCGGGATCCCAGAAAAATCGGCCATTTTACCGAAACAGATCCCAACGCTCGAACCCACGAGACGCACGGGAGGATTAATTATAGCGGGCTCTTATGTTCCCAAGTCTACCAAGCAGGTTCAACCATTGATCCAAAGATTAGGGGGCAATTTGACAACTCTCACTGTAGAAGTGCCAGCTTTATTGGTCGAGCTCCAGAAGTACCCCGACATTCCCACAATGCTTCGTGATTCACCCGTATTGCAAGACATTGTTGCGTATACATCTGGAGACCTCCAAAACGGCAAAGATGTGCTGGTGATGACCAGTCGAGACCTTGTGACACTTGATTCTGTCAATTCTTGGGCATCCGAAACTTCAAAGGAAATAACGAACTTGGACATCAACAACCTAGTCGCGAATACCTTGGTACACATTGTTCGCAACTTGAGCGTTTGCCCTCGATACCTGCCAGCGAAGGGAGGTGTGACATCATCGGATGTGGCGACAGCTGGTATAGCCACAAAACGCGCAAAAGTACTGGGACAGGCGGCGCGCCTGGGGTTCCCATTTGATGGTGTCAAGGCAAGGAAGATTTTAAGAGTGAAGATCAAGGAGGACGGAAGGTCAAATGGAGTGAGCTGCCATTGATCATTTTTCCAGGCAATGTCGGAGATGAAGATAGCTTGGCTGATGTATTTGAGCAGTGGACATTACGATAGACTATTGGCAATGTATCTTGAATTAAATATTAAAAAGGTCGCTGCATAGTCATTCGCTTCTTCCACTGATGAAGTTCGAGCTCACTGTATCAAATAAATTTCCATCCATATATCTTTTTGAAGAGCTAATTATATAAGAGAGAAACAAACAGCTAGCTAAGGATATAAGAAAGGAGATCAGGGCCAACTTTCATGCCAGTGGTCTCTCTCGTCAGGTTTAACCAATTTTGTTTAAATAAACGTATATCAAGTATTATGAGACTTCCAGCCCGAAGAAATATATTTTCAGAATGTTAAACTGACACTAAACCTGTTCCGCTTGATTGACCAAAGAGAACAAACACACGAAGTCGCGATGTTCATATTGTTTCTGGGACGTGGATGGTGTTGCATTGACGGTAAAGTCAACTTGAGGTGAGAAACGCCCGTGTGGGCAGTTTTGTTGTAGAGCGAAGAAATGTTTGCGTGAGTGAAATGCTTTAATAGAGAAGTGAGAGCAAACTGGGGATAAAGGAAGATGTTATAAGCAGACGTGTACAAAAATTTATCAACACATCAAGAAATCAGAAAGAGCTACATAAGAAGTCGATCAGGAGGATCTTCAAAACTACCGCCATATTTCTACAATCAATGTGTTTGAATTTATCTGCTTTAGAGGTTAATAATGTCCAAATATGTGCTTGATTCAAAAATAGGGTTAGTCTATCTATTCCCAAGTCCACTATACCATGAAGGCCTCAAAATCCTCGTCGGGGAGATGTGCCTTTTCATTCCCGTCAATCGTACCCAGATACCACGACAGGTCGCTTCCATCAAACTCACGCGCGGCGAAGCCGTTGCCAAGATAGCCAAACCGATTAGAGGTTGTATAATTGAGGTTATAATCTTCCCAACGAGGCTGTTTCATGGTTTCAAAGAAATGAATTCTCGAGCCTGGCCACATCATCACCTCCCCATCGGTAGTCCCTTGCTTGAACCAAGAACGACATGGAGATGCCCAAGCGGTGCGAGGCATGAAGTTTCGGTGGTGTTCAAAGAAATCCGCAACTGCCTCAGCTTTAGGGTCAAACGATGTCACACCTTCCGATGACATTTTCTCGAGCATCTGGAGGAAGTGTCTGGATATGGTCTCTGTAATTGGAAGGAAACATCCGTGGCCGTAGGGTCCAAAGGGACCATTGAAGACTGTTCGACCGAAATTAGTATCCTACCACTCTAGGGCCCAGGGTGCGGAGGGACTCACTGAGGTAATTGGGGAAGTGTGGGACTGTGATGGAAAGGTAAGTTCTTGGAATATGCTTCCATTCTTCACTCAGACTGCGAGATTCCCGGCCGATTGTCGGGTACGATGGCCGCCAACTGACATCAAAGCCGGTGGCACACACGATAACATCGACCTCGTGCTCAACCCCATCCGTAGTCTTAATCCCCTTGGGAGTAATCTCTTCAATTGATTGGCTGACAACGGAGGTGTTCTCGCTGCAAAGTGCCTCAAGGTATCCATTTCCGGGTGTAGGTCTTCGGCAGCCCACTGCAAAGTCCTTTGGAACAATTGAGTCTGCAATTTCTGGATGATCGGCAAGCTTGGACCGCATATCTTTCTCTACATACTAAAGGGGGTTACCTTGTCAGTAACGAGCTAGAAGTGTACTGGGTCGATGCAGGGGTCTTACAGCTCGCGCATTTGCTTGCTCCTCAGATCCATTCAGAATGAATCGGAAACGGGAGTTGAGCTCAGACTCAATCTTCTTGCGATATGCCAGGTATTTCTGAGGATCATTCCGCAGTATCTCCTTTTGCTTCTCATTATCTGTTATTGTCAGTATTTCGGATCCAGGTTTGATAGGGCCTGCTTGAAGGAAGCATTACATTTGAAATTGGATCCCCCTTTTCCTGCAAACCGTTGACCAATGCCGGCAGTCACCCATGAGGCACTGCGTATGAAGCATTTGAGAGATGACACCTCTGTATTGGTCGTTAATATACTTCCTTTCGTGTTTTAAATCAGCGAAACTCACTTGGCTGAATACTCGGAACGATTTGCACTGCAGAGGAGCCTGAGCCGATAACAGCTACACGTTTCCCCTTCAATTCGACATTGTCATCCCAGTTTGCACTATGAAGTTTAGGGCCCTGGAAGGTTTCCAGGCCCTTGATCGCTGGCCATTTCCATTTGCTGACGCACGTCAGTCGCAACGTATTACAACCGTATAGGAAAAGAATACTCACTTCAACACACCACTTGCGTTGATCAATATGTGACCTTTATCCTCAAAGACATCTTCAGAATCATCTCCTTTCTGGATTTTTACATGCCACTGTTGGTCCTGCTCATCCCAAAATGCGCCTACCACCTTGTGCTCCAGACGGATATATTTCCGAAGCCCATACTTGTCGGCAATGCCCTTGAAATATTCTAGGATTTCAGGTGCACCCGAGTAACTACCAACCGGTAAGTTAAATTGCCCATTTACTTGTTCGGACAAGATGGGTTCTTGATTTCACTTACAAGGAGGTCCAGTCTGGAGAGGGAGCCCATGAAAACTGATAGTTGACAGAAGGTATGTCGCATCCACATCCGGGGTAGCGGTTCTCGTACCAAGTACCACCAATTTCGGGGTTCTTTTCGTAAAGAACCAGTTCAGTATCTAACGAGCTTGTGTCTATGTCATGGGCAAAGTTCAATGCACTCGCGCCAGCTCCGATCACGATGATGCGGATTTTGCGACGGTATCGGCTTGGTTCTTCCACGATTTTATAAGGCTTGGTCCCATTATCAAGCCCGTTGGCTGCCTTGGGCTCATAATAGTTACCGATAGATCCCATTTTGGGGTAGAAGAAGTAGAAGAAGTAGTGTCAAAATTAGACTTCCGCAAAGCCCACACATTTGGGCCCATGAAAGCTTCCACGTGGCCTTCTAAAAGTACCTTCTGTTTAAGCCCCGTTTTCATATATTTTATCAGGGTAATTTATAGTTAGTATTAAAGAAGTAGAATACATATAGTGTTAAATTTATAAATTACCTATTAAACAATTATATAACGCGTTATATAGATTTTTTTTTTTTTAAATTACAGCTATTCCCTCAGAAAGTAGTACTAGTACTACTATAACTGTAAGTCAAAAATATGTAACTAGTTATCTAACATCAAGATATCAACTTCACCCTTTTTACTAATTCCCCAACTTCTAGCGGTCGTATATAGTTTAAAATTAGACTATATACTAATATAGCCTCTATAAATCTATATATTGAATTTAAACCTTCTATAGTAAGTAGAGGGTCGTGATACAGCAATTACAATAATAGTGACTCAGCAGGTTTTTAGGCGCCAAGACCCCTTGATTGGGCCCAAATCTGTGGGCTTTGCGGAAGTCTAGTCAAAATATAGCAGAGAGATGAATGATCGGAGTGCATCAAGTCATGCAGATATACGAGCGTGGGATTGATGGATTTATTAGACTCTTTCTTTTTAGCGCACATTCTACGACAATTCGTGCTTCTCGCCGAATAGATGGTGGACAATCCGTTGACGGTTGCACTTCCAGACTGTAGTTCGTCGGTGGACTGGTGGAGCTCCACCAGTCTTATCTCATTCCTCTCTAGGGGCTTCTCCTCCACCATCTCCACAACGGAGAGATGCGTGAAGAGGGGTGGAGGGGAGAGTCGTCTATCTACTCTTATGTAGTCATGGAGTTGTACTTTAATGACAAGCAACCTAGAGCCTCTAATGGAACAAGTTTTTACCCCGTCCTGCCCGTTGATCAACTCACCAATTCTACTATATTCTATTGAGCCTTTAATCAAATCCAATAACGTATTTCACTACCGAGCTGCGCACACCACCGAGCTGCGCACCCTAGAACACAGTGAAAACGATAAATTACAACATGATATTTCAACAACGGTTGTTTATATGGGCTTTTTCTTATAGCACAATCCTTTTTATATGATATTTATCCACTTGTTAGAGATTAGGGAAACTTAATAAAGTAGTAACTGAGATAGATATATTTCTAGAATTCAGCGATGTATTTTTCGATACCATAACAATGTAAGTTCTCAATTTATTCAAAATTGATATATGATACTAAAAATGCTTATCAATTGCTATCGACAAGTGATGGAATTAAATAAAAGGGTTGGTTGTTGAAATATCATGTTGTAATTCATCGCATTTACTATGTGTTCTAGGGTGCGCAGCTCGGTAGTGAAATACGTTATGCCTGAAGTTACCAACAAGAAGCCGTTGCGCATTTCCATTCGTGAGTACTGATACCCCTCAATATGATTTAATACGGTATTGACTAGACTAGACCGTGGAGGAACCTTTACCGATTGTATTTGCAAAGTGATCAACGGGGATGATATTATCGTGAAGATATTATCTGTCGACCCAAAGAATTATGCCGACGCGCCAACTGAGGCAATTCGCCGCGTTTTGGAGATACACTATAAAACTTCAATTCCACGAGGCTCTGAACTAGATCTTAAGGATGTTGTTAAGGGTCATCAGCTCAGAAACATGCTTGGCTACTTTTGGTGCTAATTCAATAGATTGGATCCGCATGGGCACAACGGTTGCAGCCAATGCGCTACTCGAGCGTAAAGGCGAGCGTACAGCCTTGCTTGTAACCGAAGGCTTCAAGGATATCTTGTATATTGACAACCAATTCGATTTGTCAATTCGACGATCAAAACCGCTGTACTTGGACGTCTTTGAGGTTAAAGAGCGCGTTATAGTTGGGGCGTGCAGTGACTCGAATCTCTGTACCGTGAAGCTGCAATCTCCAGGGCCAGTTGGGTCAATCGTTGGTACCTCTGGTGAGATTATTGAAGTGCTACAACCTATCGATTTGGCAAGTACTCGGGTTTATCTGCGAGATATATATAAAAAGGGTTTCCGCTCGTTGGCGGTGTGCCTCATGCATTCCTACATCTTCCCGACTCATGAGTTACAGATTCGCGAGTTAGCTCTCGAGATTGGGTTCAAATATATATCTCTCTCACACCAAACCTCTCCACGACCAAAACTTGTCCCTCGCGGAAACTCCACGGTGGTTGACGCATACCTGACCCCAAACATCGAATAATACTTGCAACAATTCACGCAGAATTTTCCCAATACCGACGAGTCGGGGACACGATTGGAGTTCATGCAGTCAGATGGTGGATTGGTGCCCTCGTCAAGCCTCTCCGGGCTGCACTCTATTCTCTGGACCGGCAGGAGGTGTTATCGGATTTTCTCAGACATGTTTCGACGCAGATGAGCAAACCCCTGTCATTGGATTTGATATGGGAGGCACTAGCACCGATGTTAGTCGATACGACGGCGAGCTGGATCACATCTTTGAGACAACGACTGCTGGGATCGCAATCCAAGCCCCACAACTTAATGTGAATACCATCGCGGCTGGTGGAGGAAGTATACTGGTTTGGAAAGATGGACTCATGTCAGTTAGTCCCGAAAGTGCAAATACTAAAAAGAGAATTTTCCAGACAGCGATAGCAGTGCCTTGTACACCCGCTAGGCCGTATGCAATGAGCCCAATAAGCAGCTGGGCCAATCCGTTACAACTGAGCCAAAGGCCCATGCGTCTGGCTTGTTCCTCTTGTTTATACCAGCAAGAAGTGAACAACACAAAGGCTGGCGTAACTGTTGCCTCAAATGCACCTAGAAAGAAACGAACGCACAGTACGCTCGCATAGTTATGAGTAGCTGCGTGGCAGACGAGTGCGATACCTTAGAGTAGGATATCGGCCGAGGCGTATTTGCCCAGGGGCAGGCGGCGAAGCAGATATGTGGTCGGAAATCTAGGCTTATACATTGACAACCTGTAGAAGATAACAACAGGCGAACAGACTTACTCCCAAAAGATATATCCAACATAGAAAATACTGGAGGGGGGCTCGGGAAAGAGGGCCATTGACTACGGGTGCACGTGCCGTTATCTCTTAGCTTCAACCGATGTTTGAACATTAATGTTCATATTAATAACATCGAAGATATATGGATCTATATATTATTAGGCTCTACATGAAATACATGAAACACAAATGGGAGTGAAAAGGCTTCGATCGCGGGACATTTATCAGGAACATATCTGTGGATACATATCGCCGTCATATCAAGGTTACATATCCCGCGTCCATCCCGCGTCCATCCCCCGTCCATCGAACTTACCTCTTTATATTTTGTTATATTCCAATGTCCAAATAGCAAGAACCTACAGGAGTACATATTTACTAGATCCCAAGAGGTTAGGCTGGAATACTCCAAGGGCCCAGATGTAAGCGCAACCTTGCAAGTGGACCCGCAGACTCCGATCCTTTCAACCTCACCTCGTCTAAGCCATTTCCCTACAATCCATAACCCCAAATAAAAAAATCAGCAATCAAGCCAAAATGGCTTGTTTGGATCTTCAAAAGCAGGTTGGCCAGGTAAATGATCCCTAGAACCCCTCGGTGAATCTCTCACTGACGATCGCAGCTCTTCGCGGTGGGGTTCTATGGCTGCACCCCAAGCCCCGAAATCCAGACTTTGATCCATGACTACCACGTTGGAGGCATCGTCCTCTTCTCGCGTAATTTTGAGAGTGCAGAACAGCTTCAGGTGCGATATCCGAGGCTATATTGTCCTTGATTGGCTTAACTAATCTTCTATAGGCCTTGACACTGGCTTTACAAAATGAAGCCAAATCGGCCGGACATGAGCGACCACTGTTGATCGGAATTGATCAAGAAAATGGACTGGTCACTCGCATTTCTCCCCCGATCGCTGCTCAGGTACCAGGGCCTATGGCACTTGGTGCCACCCATGACCCCGAGTGTGCCTACAGTGCGGGGAAAGCCACGGGGGAAACCCTGAGTTTCTTCGGGATTAACATGAACTATGCACCAGTCTGCGATATCAACTCAGAGCCCTTGAATCCAGTTATTGGTGTACGCAGCCCTGGCGATGACCCTGAATTTGTGGGCCGGTTTGCAAGTGCGGCCGTGCGGGGTCTGCGGGAACAAAACATCGTCCCCAGTGTAAAGCATTTTCCAGGTCACGGAGACACGGCTGTTGACTCGCATTATGGACTACCAGTAATCCCTAAAACAAGGGATCAGCTGGAGCGCTGTGAATTGATCCCCTTTAGGCGGGCTGTCGCTGAAGGCATCGAGACCGTCATGACTGCTCATATCTCGCTGCCCTGTATCGACCTCACGCGACCTGCAACACTTTCCCCTGATGTTATGGGAATTTTGCGCAAGGACATGGCCTATGACGGTATGATCATCACAGACTGTCTGGAGATGGATGGAATCCGCGCCACATACGGTACGGAGGAAGGCTCCGTGCTAGCGTTGCGCGCTGGTAGCGATAGCATCATGATCTGTCATAGCTTTGATGTGCAGGTGGCTTCGATCAAGAGAGTTTGTGAAGCAATAAATTCCGGCACAATCGATCAATCGCGACTGGCGGACGCTTGTCGTCATGTTGCTACGGTGAAGGACAAGTTTTTGAACTGGGATGCCGCTCTCCGGCAATCCAGTCTCGCAGACCTGAGCTCGCTCAACAATAGAATTGCCGAGACGACTATGGATATATATTCGCGGTCGACCACACTCGTTCGTGACAAGAATGGCGTTCTTCCCCTGTCTAAGACTTCAATCATCATATTCCTCTTTCCCGGAGACAAGACCCCAGTCGGCGGTGCTGTAGACGGTGAGGGGACGGAGAAGCCAGGATTATATCAGTCCAACAGATATCTTGATGTGCTACGGCAGCACAACAATTCCATTGCTGAGATCAGATACGGACCGACCGGTCTGACTTCGGAGCAATGGCGAACACTTGAAGTCGCCGATGTGGTGATTTTCACATCACTCAATGCAAGAGAGTCGCCATACCAGGAGTCCCTGGGCCTGGAACTTGCTGAACGTGTTCAATCATTAGTGCATATTGCTGCCTGCAACCCTTATGATTTCCTTGATGCTCCTAGTGTCAAGACTTATATTACCACATACGAGCCGACTATCGAGGCATTCTCTGTGGCTGCCGATATCATGTTCGGAGCGTTGGTCCCGACAGGCGCTCTTCCCGTGGGAACAAATGCTTTGACAAAGACCTCCGCGGCAGTAACGCCATTTGACGCACAAAGAGATCTGGATGAGGTGGTCGAAGTCTGGGCCGCTGCTCTCCCGACCTACCCCATCCCAACTAGAAGTTTGCGGTCTATGATTGTACGCCCATATGGCCACCATTTCGTTGCGCGCATCGGATCGCAGCTAGTAGGCTTCTGTCTTGCTTACACAAATCCTGACGGTGCACCAGACACAGTGTTTATCTCAGTCCTTGCCGTGTCACCAAAGTACCAACACCAAGGCGTTGGAATTGCCCTGCTGGAAGAAACGAGAGCATACTTCCGGGCAACGTTTGGTTTCAATAACGTGAAACTGGGCAGCTCATTCCCCCGCTTTTGGCCTGGGATTCCCCAGGACCTTCCAGAAACAGTGCAGCATTTCTTTACTCATCGTGGTTTCCGACTCAGCCCTCCCAGTGCCCGAGCTGTCGATTTGTACCAAGATATTCGGAACTTCCAGTCGCCAGAGAAGTATATCACTCGTGCCCGGGAACGAGGTTTCCGCTTCGCGCCATTGAAATCCGAAGATTACGAAGCCTGTCTGGTTGGCCAAAGAAGAAATTTCTCCCATAACGGCGTAAGGTCCTTGTGTTATCCTTACGTTTATACTTTATTAAAAGCCGTACTAATGTGTTATAAAGAGCTGGGTGGGGGCATACGTCGCACTACACCCTGACAAGTATCCCGACTGTGTGATGACAGCATTCGACTCCCAAGGCCAGCAGGTTGGCTGGACGTTGATGCTCGGCCCATCAGACGCTCTGAACGAGTCCTGGGCATTCCCCCAGACCTGTGGCCCAAACACAGGACTGATTGGTGCCGTTGGAATTGATGAATCCCACCGTAAGTATGGCATTGGGTTAGCATTGATCTGCCATGCTATTGAAAACATGAAGCAACGAGGTATTGAAGGCGTCTTTGTAGACTGGGTTGCACTCGATGGGTGGTATGAACAGGTTGGCTTTGAGACTTGGCGAAGCTACAAACCCGGAGAACTTTGAGTATTCCACATCGCTGTCGGCTCTCTGTTTATTATTAAGAGTTTAGCTCTGATTGCTAGAAGCATTGATGTCTCTGATTCAGGCCTTTGAAATAGGATCACCTTTTTAGATGCGAAGATGAACCTTATGATATTGTTGCCAGGAGCTTGACTTGTTCCTTGTTAACTTTGCTTTCAGCCCTGTCATCAGAAACCCAAGATATCATTATCAATCAATGCTGATCAGAATTTGGCATGGCATCAATCTTAGCCCGGCAATTCCGGAAGTTTTCAGCCTTCTGCTCAGGAGTCCTAGTCGAATGGGGAACATCTACCCCCTTTTGAACAGCAGCACGCTTATCAATCTCGCCAACCCACTTCTTCAAAGCGGGAAACTCAGAAAAGTCAGTCTCCAAGGAGACAGAAGCACCACGAACCCAAGAGAAGCTCGCAATATCGGCAATGGTATACTTCTCACCCGCCAAGTAAGAGCTTTCCCTCAACCGCGACTCGAGAACCGAGTAGAGACGCCTCGTCTCGTTGATATACCGCTGAATAGCGTAATTGAAGCGCGTATTGGCGAAGAGACGGAAATGGTTTGCTTGTCCTGTTTGGTATTAGAGAGCCATCAAAGCCAACGTGCAAGGTGGATTATCTGCACGCACCTTGCATAGGCCCGAGTCCAGCCATCTGGAACATTAACCATGATGTTTGTTCGGCGTGCTCAGGAGTGCCAGGAGCGTAACTGATCTTGCGGTCGGTGTCGTACTTGTCGACTAGATATGACATGATTGCTCCGCTCTCAAAAACGCGCTGCGAGCCATCGAGTAGAGCGGGGATGCGGCCATTGGGGTTAATCTTCAGGAACCATCTATTGAATAGCTTCCATCAGAATATTGTGAGATGTCATGCTGCGTAGTGGAGAAAGTTGTACTCTTCCTTTTGTGGATTTGAGCTGGAGGTGAAATCAATGCCTTCAGTTTTATGATTACCATAGGAATTCATGCAAACTGGGGAGCAGATGAAAACTTGTTATTCACAAGCTAACTACAGAGATTCCTCTATCTCGAAAAAGAAGACTTACCATATTCACCCAACAGTGAATTCACTCCTAGTATACATATATCAGAAAGCTGCTTTTTATTCGATTCTACAGTCTATGACTGACCATACTCAAAGTACACCTGGAAAGACATCTAAAAAGAGATTTAAAAAGAAACTAAAGTACAATCATAGCTATAACGTGCCTAATATCAGCTTAAAACAAGCTTCCAGGAACTCCACCTGGGTAGACTCCAGGGCTTAATCTTTAGAGTATCCAAGTCCTGTAATGTTCCGAGTTTGTCCAACCTTGGACGGTGTCCAGGTGAAGTCTACGGGTTACATACGTACCTGCCTAAACGAGTATTCACCTAGTGGTATTTACCTTCTACCCACATCTTCCACTTTAACTCACACTCTACTTCCCACTTCTAGCTTGACTCCAAAATCAAGACTCTACCCCATATCCTCAAACTACAAGACTCAAGACAAGTCGCAGTCGCCATGACCAGCGAAAAAAAAAAGCTTCTGTAACCTTAGTGGTGCATGAGTACATCATATGTATGCTTTGCAATACTAATAGAATGCTTAGGGTCCATTTACTGCAAGACCACAATGGAGCAAATGGGGATGCTCATGGCATTTCACTACAGTGGAAAGGCGCCCGGACACCCGATGACCAACATTCCCTCCGTGGGGCGACGTGAAAAAAGGGTGATAGACCCTTGCTTCAAGTGCCAAGAGCCTATACGCATGCACAGTGGCACAATTGCTAACTTTTCTCGCTGCATCGGATTACCTGGAGGCCATCCTTGAGACATGTCGGGGTGCTGCGAGTTACGGCCGGTCTATCAGAAGGCAGTAGAGCCAAATCCCAGCTCGTTTCTCGTCCACTCAACGATGAGGACTTAAACAGGGAAGGAAAGCGTTCGGGTACTAGAAATTATTGGATACATATGCAGCCATTGAAAGGAAACATGTATCTAATCATCTCGAGATTCGCATTGGTAAAATCAAAGAGGAACTCCCAACTCAGCACTATTGAGATACTCCTTTGGCCATAATTGATTCAGCCTTTACCCCCCTGTATAGGAAGTATCGATTCCCATTGGGGGAAGGGGATATTGCTGTCGTTTTCTTTGTTTGAACTAAGGCAACATTACAGGAAAAAGCAATTTAGTTATGCCAGCTTGTCCCGATTCATGGTTAGATAATATGCGGTTGTTTTCAAACACTAGCACCTAGTCTTTTCATAACCGCATCAGCCCGCCTAGGTCTTTGATGGGATAGGATTCGAGCCTTATCGCTTATAGAATTCTTAACGTACATTTTCTTCCACTTTTTCACTTTCGAAGCTGTTTTCCAGTGTAAAGCAAAATGGGTACAATAAGCCTGCGATGGCTCTAGATGAATGGTAGACTTATTTCTCTATTTGCTTTGCCCCTTGCAGCAGGGCACACAGATGATACCCTCCCAAGGATGCATTGACCATTTGAATTGCTCGGCGGTTTAAGAGTCACCACATGGTAGGGTGTGCAGGCACCCGGAAGGCCGATCCCTTTCTGGAAGGACAGATGCTCTTCTATACGAAGTAGCATAGCCCAGGATCTAGTATGGCACATGGTTCATGCCAGGATTGGACGTTTGATCGGCAATGCTACCATACTATCCTTCTCACTAAGAGCTAGTTTAGGAATTGCCTCATAGAATAACCTAACACACAAGGGGCACTCTGCATCTGACATGTCAATTACATACTAATTTGCAAGGCGCAGAGTAAGCCGAAAACGGAGCAAAAGCAACCAACTCCAAGGGATGTGATCTCAGTATTCATTCGCAAATTGTGTCATGACTCGGGGCGTTGAGAGGTTACAAAAACATCTCCAAATTATTTCCCCAAGGGATGAACACATTGGGGTAGAAAATTGACGATCCCCACATGGCCAGCCACGAGCACTTTAGCGTTGTAACCCCCAGACACGGCCCGCTCAAATCTCGAGAACTATGTCGCCGGAGACGGTCACCGTCCGCTTTCTGATGTTGATGAGTGATGATGCGATCATCTTTTAAGGTGCTTGAATCGGATTAACACTTACGCCACACTCCAAGAAATACTTTAGGTTCAGTTTGACTTCACAAGATAATCGAGTTGGAATAACTGCCGTGGTCTAGGGTTACTTTTTCTAACGCCACTAACGCCTATTGCGCTCTCAACTGGAGGGGGGAAAACGCACGCTAGCTCTTACGGGTCACACGGCTTGTAGGACATAATTCCACCCGCAAAGATCGGGATCGAGTATCCTTGGATCAAAGGAAAGCCTTCATTTCGCCCGATATTGTTCCACGGCTTGTAATGCCGGATGGTTGGGCTCCGAGAGTAATTCATCCCCGAGGATTTGACTTTTTCCTATTCCGCACGTCCTCCTTTCGTACACGGGATTGCGCTAGCGTGAGACTTAGACCCCAACCTTGGAAGCGAATACCTGGATGTCGTCTCCCCCGTAATTTGCCCCGGACTTCCACTTTTTTCTTCTACCTTTTTACTGAATTCGGAAAAGGGTTCAATTTTAGATGCTCGCTATAATAAAGAGGATTTAGGTCATTTAGGTCTTGCTCAATGCGAGCCCAAAAGGTAAAATACATTGGCCACGTGAAACTTTGAACCCTGTGAAGTCACCGGAAACAAACCTGAGGGGCAGTGATTACCGTGATTTGAGGCTAATTGAGCACCAATAAATTAATTGGCCCTTAAGCATATGCCTAAATTATTTTCGCCAATCACAATTCTGGCCCCTGCCTAGAGGCGATTACCATAACCCGTGCTCTTAGTCGACGAATGTGGCGCTCGCCCGGACATGCCAATATCGAGAGCGGCGATCCTGATGCCTCACGACAATTGCTTTTCATATCTGAAGTTGACGGAAATAATAGATAGGGTTGTAGGACTTAATTGCATAACATGGAGACAACGTCCCCATCATCAGTAGGAAATAAACCTGGGGCTTAACAGCAGAAGGCTTACTTTCACCTCGGACTTGAACAGGTCTAGACAGGGATCCCGGTACAGAACAAAAGATCCTAGAGGGTTTCTTTTCCAGGTGCATGTAGCTGTACTTGGGCCGAGAGACTTGTTCATACTTGTTTCTAGTACTTGGCATTAGGGAAGGTAGCAGAGCACTCTCAATGTAGTATTTTGCCGAGACCAAGTCCTTCCACTTAAAGCCGAAGGCTTAGCGTAAGAGTGGAGTATTTATTTCTTGTATCTCCATTTTTTTAGGGTTTGAAGTTTCCCCATGGGCAATTCAACGTGGGCCCCCCAGGTTAAATCCGTTTCGGGAAGTAGATCAGAGGGAAGTCATGACAAAAGGCTGCCCTTTTTTGGATTTACTCATGAGCCTTGGGCATCTTTTACTCTAGCCAATGAGATTGTGGGCCGCTTGTCAAATGGACTGGTCTGGGAAAAGATTAGATGCAGAATATAAAAGGGTGCCCCTCCCCCAAGGTCAATAGCTACCATTCACCACTTCGTTTGTCTCTGAGACTCATCAAACGAGCCACTGCGGTAAATAGAGTTGCTAGTTGGTTTTCCAACTCTTCCTCTCCATCTTACTTTCTCTCCTTTCCTTCCTTCCACACCAGAAGAGCCAACTCAGCCCACAGCCTCTGGTTTCTTTCTTAGTTTCTATTAACAGAATAGCTCGACCAGGCGCCGGGCCCTCAAAATGGTTCAGGAGGCCATCACTCGGGTCGACTCTAGCCAGCGGTAAAATTTCCTTCTTTCTTGTGCACTTCGCAATACTCATGTCGATTTCATCTAGTTCCAGCAATGATCAAGACAGTGTCGAGAAGGGACACTTTGAGCAAGTTGACCTTCAAAACAATGTTTCAGCCAGGTAAGCTTCGCTCACTTGATTCCGCAGTCATATATTACCTTTTCCTCTGAGTTCACTAACATCAACCAGGATCAAGAACCCTTTGGCCAACTTGACCGAAAATCAGGTGCTGCGCGACGTGGAAGAGTTTGCCGAGGAATACAACGTGACAGACATTCTACCCGAGTTGAAAAAAGGAGCACTAGTTGCGCGTGACCCTACCGAGTTCGAGACTGTGGCAGACTTGACTGAGCCGGAGCTCACTGCCCTGCGTGACGAAGTGCTTCACAAATGGCGCCAGCCTAAATCACTCTACTTCACCATCATCCTGTGCTCTATTGGTGCAGCCGTGCAGTATGTTATCTCCCCAGTACCTTTTTGGGTACATCCCTAACATCAATACAGAGGATGGGATCAGACTGGCTCCAATGGTGCTAACCTGTCATTCCCCGATGCGTTTGGTATATCAGACGATCCCAAAAAGAGCGCTCACGCCGAGCGGAACCTATGGCTCATCGGTGTCGTCAATGCTGCACCTTATATCGCCAGTGCTTGCCTTGGATGTTGGCTGTCGGATCCATGTAATCGGATCCTGGGCCGCCGCGGTACAATCTTCATCTCGTCTATCTTTTGTGTCCTTACCCCCATTGGCTCTGCAGTGACCCAGAACTGGGTACAGTTGTTTGTGGTCCGTCTTCTCCTGGGTATTGGAATGGGTTTAAAGGCCTCGACAATTCCAATCTTTTGTGCTGAGAATACTCCTGCTGTTATCCGCGGCGGTCTAGTCATGTCCTGGCAGCTCTGGACCGCTTTCGGCATTTTCCTTGGATTCAGTGCCAACCTTGCCGTCAAGGATACTGGCAAAATATCCTGGCGTCTACAGCTCGGATCGGCCTTTATCCCGGCTATCCCTCTCCTATTTGGTGTTTACTTCTGCCCAGAGTCGCCTCGCTGGTATATTCGGCGTCGCGAGATGGGCAAGGCGTACCGGTCTCTCTGCCGTCTCCGTAACACGCCTCTGCAGGCTGCTCGCGACCTTTACTACATCCATGCCCAGATCAAGATTGAAATGGACCTAATTGGCAAGAGCAACTATG